TGATACTGGGTGGTGATAGGGGAAGGGGCTTAGGAATGTTCAGTCAACTTGTGAGCTAGAGATCTTAGGATGTGGTCTGATACTTTTCACAGAAATCAGATCAGGGGTAGGGAAGGAATGATTCCGGAGGGGCTCAAGGTGGGGGTCTTTAGTGCTCTTGGAATCCTCCTTCAAGGACTCAAGTGTTTGGGGCATTCAGGGGACAAGTAACCAAGGAAGGAGGTCCTGTAATGCTTCAGGGCCTGTCTAGGGTGGACCCAAAGGCCTCATTCAGGCCAAGGTTACTGGGGCTTCTCCTGGCCTCCCCAGAAAGAGACCTACATTGATGGGGCAAGAAATCCCTGGTAGGTCCCAGGCTTGGAATAAACTAAATTTGGACCATCTTGATGTCTGCCTCTTACCCACCCTGACTTCTGCAGTGATGCCATTTCACTCAACTGTGTTCGGGGGCAAGTTTCTCTTAAGTGCAGTCAGTATAGACACCCAGAGACACCTCTGTCCCCCCTGCTATTTTGATGACCTTTTTCAGTGAGTTGCATGGTAGGGGTAGCTGCAATACCGGGTGCATGAATCTGTCCCCAGCTGCTGAGAGGGAACAGTGGGGGATGCTAGAGGACAACTGAGGAGTACACTAGAGATTTGGTCTCCAGGCCTCCAAAAAAAGGGCAAATAGAAATAAAGCAGGAAGTGCGGTAATAGTAGCTAGTGTGTATTGATTACCATGTGCCAGGCGTTACATAAGCCCACCAAAGCACTTACTGGGGAGCAATTACTACCATTTTCACCATCCCCATTCCACAGAAACAAGGCTCAGAGATAAAGTTATGAGTCCAGGTTGGGCACCTGGCAGGTCACAGAGCTCAGGCCACCAAGCCAAGCTCTCCTGTTCACCAAACAACCCCTTTAAGCTACTGGACTACAGAGCTGTTTGCTCAGAACAGAAACCTGGCTGTCTGGTTCTTTTGGGTACTTTGTGTCCAAAAAAGCAGGCTTTGCCTCAATTTCTCCAAATTGACCTTGGCAAAGAACGTTTCTTTCATTCTCTGGCAGGAAGAAGGGTGTCCTGCATTCTTCCTTCCCTCCTAATTCCCCAAGGGCAAGGAAGCCCTCCCCCACCACATACTCCAAGGCCCCCCAGCCACCTCACTTCCCAGCACAGAAGGTCTTCTGGGCCACTGGCTGAACTCCCGAGCAGAGAAGCCACTACTTGGAAAGGCGGAGGGAGGAAAGGCCTAAGGCCCCCCTCTCCCCAGTTGACTCCAGGCAGCTGGGGCTCTGTGCTGCCTGGGGATCTGGGACAGCACAGGGGGACTGTAAATTTGCTTCTCTTTGGATTTTCAATCTGAATCAGCTGCCAGGAGAAATCCATGGAACAGAGCCTGCCTTTACCCCCAACATCTCTTGTCACAACCATCCCTTTTCAAACCTGTCTCAATGGCTGCCTGCTCAGAAGGTGGATGGAGGCCTCGCAAGCCCCCAGCATCCTCAGGAGCTGAGTTGAGCAGGTGTGGCTCACTCCCATTCTCTGGCTGAGGAGTCCGCAGTGGAGGGATCACATAATGCAATCCATGAAGGAGTGATGGCCACAAACAGGCAACGTGCTGGGTGGGTACAAAGGCATAGAAGACCGTCCATAGGGTTGCTTTTCTTTGCTTGCTTCTCTGAGTACCAGGGCAACTGCACTGCATGACTCCAGAGGGTCTCATCCCCATCAGAGTCTCTATGAACCCCCCTAGAATTGTGCAGTGCTCAATTGTCAGTTGTCCATGGTGCCCTGCCAGTGAGAGGCCTAAGATGTGTATGTAAATGATGGAAATGCAGAGGAGGGAGATAGCTTTGTGGAGGGGGAATGCTTGCATTTGGGCTTTGAAGAAAAGGAGATAGTGTGGGAGGGTGATCCAGGTGGAAAGCACAGAGCGAGCAAAGAGCAGGAAGCCATAAACCATCTAACTGAGCTTCTGTCATGGAGGGAGTGGAAATGAGCAAAGTGGAAGAATAGGCTGAAAAGTTAGGTGGATGGCAGAACACAGAGGGTCTTAGTTGTGAGGCGATGGGGAGCCATTGCAGGTTCATGCTCAGGGAGTGATACGAACGAGGGTATTCAATGGGAAAGTTAATTGAGTAGCAGGGTTATGGATTAACTGGAGGAGTCAGTGAGGAGACACTCTGCAGTGGTCCCAGGACTGGGTCAGTACTGCACCGGAGGAATACAAGTAGGCAGACGGAGAGGGCACAAGGCGGGGGGATGGTGGGCATTGGAGGGGGAGCCCCAAGTGGCTTCCTGTTTTCCTGTTCCTCAGGGTCTCCTGCTATTGAGGACCCTGCTGGTATCCAAGAGCCTCTTGGCTAAGTTGGACCCCAAATCAGCCTCTGCCTTCTTAGCAGGATTACTATAGCTTCAGAATTGGGTATGGGGTGGACCACGATCCTCTCCTCTACCTTCCCTCCCAAGCTGCAATCACAGCTCTCTCTCCAAAAGCCCCAGGGACAAGTGAGCCTGGCCCCTGTTGAGCTGGCTCCAGCATCTAGAGGCCGGTGCTCATGGCTGTCCCCTTTCCCCTCTGGCAGGCAGGGACCTAACAAGTTGCTGTTAGGGGAGGAGCAGGTCCCCAAAAGTTTCCTCCCTCTCCTCAGGCTGTGTCCACCCCATCGGCCATCTGTCCCTGGCCCCCTCTCCATACTTAGGTCAGGGCAGTGACGCAGGAGTCAGGAGCCGCCAGAGAGCACAGTCTGGGGGTGGGGGGGTGTTGGGACAGAACACATGTGCAGACGTGTGTGGACGTGAGTGTGCGTGTGCATGTCCCACAGCTGGGTTCTGGGAAGGGAGCAGAACCAGGCTCTGAGGGCTGAGCTGGGAGCCAGGACAGCAGGTTTGGGGAGGGCCCAGGAGCAGGCTCAAGGTGAGCAGAAGGCAGGGGAGCAGGGTCTGGCCCTCATTACCTCCGGCCTGTCTCCCACCCCCACCCATTTATTTTTCTAAACCCATCTTTGATCGTGCTCTTCCCCTGCCCCATCCTGAGGGTTCCCCGCTCCCCTACCATGAGGTCTTTTATTCAAATCACCTTCTCTGCATGGCATCCTTGACTGTCTCATATGAATGCCACTTCCTGGTCCCCCTTCTTTGCTTTTCCTCGTTAGTTCTCGTTGCCATTTGAGATCTTCTATCTTGCATTTGTTTTTGTGCTCATCGTCGGCCTCCCCACTAGAATGTCAGCTCCTCCGGGGCAGGTGATCTTGTCTGTGCCATTCACTGCTCCACCCCCAGGAGTACCTAGTTCCAAGTGTAGGTACTCCATCAGTAGTTCTGGAATGAATAAATGTTTCCAAAGCTTTCAAAACAAAATCTGAAATCTACAAATGGCATTCAAGGCCCTTCACAGCCTGACTCTTCCCTAACCCGCACTCTGGCCTAATCTCCCATCTCTCCTTTCTACACCCTCCCCCAAGATGCCTGACCCTCCATTCATGTTGCTGAATTGGTCTCCACCACCCTCCTCCAGAGTCTCTTCACATTGAAACCCTACTCACTCTTGGAGGCTGAGCTCCTTGTCACCTCCTCCATCAAATCTTCCCTGATTTCCCCAAGCTAGAGGTGCGCTCTCCTTCTTCCAAACTCCTACAGCTCAGATCCACGCGCTCCAGTCCTTACCCACTGTCCTGTGTACCCATATTATCTCCACTTGTAAGCTGCGAACTCCAGGAGGGAAGGAGCTGCAAAGTGTGTAGCCAATGGTCTTGCACAAAGTAGGCACTGAATGCATGAATAAAATATCTCTAATATTATGGGGGGAGTGGGTAGCGACTAGGCAGGGCATGGAGGAATGTATATAACCATCTGTGTTTGTAGGATTTTCCCGTCTTTTCTGAAGCCTGAGTGAAGTGAGGCTGGTCCTTCCATCACACTCATTTGACAGCTGAGGGCACTGAGGCTCAAGCACCAAGGCCATTTTCTCAGGTTTGAGAGGACAGTAAACCTTGCACTTCTGCTTGAGGTAGCCTGCCCCTCTGCTCCAGGGCTTCCAGAAGCTACAAAAATTTAGCTGTAAATCCCAGTTCCCATCACTCAAGGGCTCACAACCCAAAAGGCTTCTCCCTCTCCTCAGGCTATGTCCACCCCATCTGCCAGGGCGTTACTTCTATTTCAGGATTCTTAAGAATCTTGCCACACAGGCTAACCTATATCACAGGTGAAAGAAATAGATGTGAAAGTGCACATGTCCTGCACAGTATACCATGTGCCTTGTGCCTGAAAAGTTAAGTTTCTGAGTTTTCAGGGTTCTAGAAAGTGAGGAGTCGGGGGAGAAGAATCCCAACTTCCTTGCTTCGTTTGCCCCCATCAAATTCCTCAACACAGAGACACTGGTTTTTAGACCGTGTTCTGGGATTATAAGAAGGAAGGCAACCAAGTTGTTCCTACTAGAAGCTTCTGGGCTTCCAGACCCAGCTACCTCGCAGGAACCCAGAGACCCAGGCTCTGAGCCCCTGCCTACGACTGGGACGCCCCCCAGGGGAGGTATCTGAGTCCTCAGCCTCTCCCAGATGGCACGTCTCTCCCAGGCCCAGGCATCCTGCCCATTCGGCGGGTGTGCACTCGGGTGCGCTGTCTTGCCAGAACCCAGGCGCCAGGGGCAGACTCATGCCCCGCACGTGCGCCTGCAGAGTAGACTCCAGCCCCTGCGAGCCCCCGACCCAGGCGTCCTGCCCCCTGCTCTGACCCCGGGTGTCCCCCACCCCCAGCGACCCCTCACGCACACAGCCTCACCCCCACCCTCACACTCGCACGCACACATGCTGATAACAGCCCCGACCCCCGGCTGGAGCCGCAGAGTCCCGGGTCAACCCCGGCTGGTCGCTGCGCCGCGCCGCGCCGTCCTCCCGGACCCTGGCCAGGGCCATTGCGCCCGCTCTCCTCCGACCCCAGGCTCGGCAGCCGCGACGTGCCCACTCCCCCTGGACAGTGGTTTCCTCCTCAGGCCCCTGGGGCTGGCCCTGTCCCGCCGAGCTTCCCGGGATGAGGGCTCCCAGCGTGTCCCGCCGAGCCCCTGGTCACTGAGGGGCCCCGGCGAGGCGCGGAGATGGGGGTGCGCGGTGAGTACTCGCGGGCTGCGGGAGCTGCCGCCGGCCGGGCCCCTGTTTGAGGAGGGATTTACCTCTGCAGCTATTGGCCGGGAGGTGGCTGGGTTCAAGGACCCGAGACTTGCTGAGGACCCAGGAAGGGGTAGGGGGTGGGGCAGCCTCCACGTGCCGGCAGAGCTTGGGGAGTCCCTGTGAATGGCAAAAGCCTGACCTGGAGACGGGGACAAGGTTTGCGGGTTCAGGAAGAAGAGGCGCTGCTCTGTGGGTGGGGAGGAAGTAGATAAGCCCTTACCTGGGTCCTGGAGCAACAACCGGGATCTGCAAGAGGGGAAGCCTCTGTCAGGGCGGGATTGAAGTTTGGCCCGAGAAGGGGATGCCGGTAGCTGGGGGTGGGGTGTGCACACGGCAGCGGGATTGAATGAAGGCAAGGCAGGCAACACCTGAGCGCTGGCAAGGTTGGGGCCAGGAGGGGCTAGCTGAGGGCAGAGGTGCAGGATGAGTGGACCTGCCCCTCCAAACCAACCTTCTCCCCTCCCGGCCTCACATTCAGCCTGGCTCTCTTCTAGAATGTCCTGCCCTGCTGCTGTGGCTGTCCTTGCTGCTGCTTCCTCTGGGCCTCCTAGTCCTGGGCGCCCCCCCACGCCTCATCTGTGACAGTCGAGTCCTGGAGAGGTACATCCTGGAGGCCAAGGAGGCCGAGAACGTCACGGTGAGGCCCCCTCCCCAGAACACTCCGCAGAACTCCCTCTCAGGGCTCCAAGGGTCTCCTCTAAGATCCAGGAACCTGGACTCCTTCCTGGCATTTGGTTCAGGATGGAGGTGGGAAGTCACACTCCCTCCCCCCATAAGAATGATAAGGCTGGTGGCCCCCAAAACATACCTGGAAGCCAGAGTGTCCTATGGTCTGTGGGGGCCCTGACTCCTGGGGCTGCACATTTCAGATGGGCTGTGCAGAAGGCTGCAACTTGAGTGAGAATATCACCGTCCCAGACACCAAAGTTAACTTCTATGCCTGGAGGAGGATGGAGGTGAGTTCATTCTTTCCTTCCTCTTGGGGAATCTCATTTTACAGGAACTTGACAGGGAGGGAGGGAGAATGATAGAGAGAAGAGATGGACAACAGAGATGAGGCCTGTATGGAATGTGTTCATTCATTCATTCATCTACTCATTCATTCATTTGTTCACTCAACCTTACTGCATACTTGCTGTTTACTCATCTTGGTGCATGGGGCAGCTGAGAGGGAGAAAGCAGTTGGCTTGGGCCTGCTGACTCCAAGTCTCCGTTCCCTTTAGGTCGGGCAGCAAGCCATAGAAGTCTGGCAGGGCCTGGCCCTGCTTTCAGAAGCCATCCTGCGGGGTCAGGCTCTGTTGGCTAACTCCTCCCAGCCATCAGAGACCCTGCAGCTGTACGTGGACAAAGCCGTCAGTGGCCTGCGAAGCCTCACCTCCCTGCTTCGGGCGCTGGGAGCCCAAGTGAGTAGGAGTGGACACTTCTGTTTGCCCTTTCTGTAAGATGGGGAGAAGTGTCCTGCTAAGGAATACTCAGGCTCTCCCTATCCCCCTCCATTCTGTCCCTAATCCCATTTTCCTCCCGGGCCCCTGGCACTGTGGTAACCTCCTGTTCTTTCCTTGGCAGAAGGAAGCCACCTCACTTCCAGATGCAGCCTCAGCTGCTCCACTCCGAACATTTACTGTTGATACTTTGTGCAAACTTTTCCGAATCTACTCCAATTTCCTCCGGGGAAAGCTGAAGCTGTACACGGGGGAGGCCTGCAGGAGAGGGGACAGGTGACCAGGTGTCCCCACCTGGGCTCAACCACCACCTTGCTTACCACCACTGCCTGTGCCATGCCTTCCCCACCACCACTCCCAACCTCCATCAAGGGGCTGTCAGCTCAGTGCCAGCATGTTCCATGGACACTCCAGTGCCAGCAGTGACATCTCAGGGGCCAGAAGAACTGTCCAGAGCTCAACTCTGAGACCTAAGCATGTCACAGGGCCAGCCTGAGGCCCCAGAGCAAGAGGAATTCAGAGATCAGTTTTAAACTCAGGGACAGAGCCATGCTGGGGAGACACCTAAACTAACTTGGTGCCCTGCAGAACTGTGACACCAGGACAAGCTTTGGAGGCAAATACCTCGTTTTGCACCTACCAAGCACAGACAGATGGACTGGAGGATTTAGGTGGCAAGCCATGAATTCTCCAGGTCTCTTGGGGACTCCCATGACTGCGAGAGCCCACTGCACAATGGAGGGGTGGTAACTGTGAAGTTGGGATGGGGGCTGGTCCCTGGCTCTCATGGGGTCCAAATTTTGTGTATTTTTCAATCTCACTGGCAAGACTGAAACCACCATTATGGCTCTTGGCTTTTCTGTTTTCTCGGGAGCCCCATACTTTCCTGGTTCTGCCGCCATCCTGGCAGCAGGGCGGCAGGTCTGGGAAATCAGAGGTGGAGAGGGTTGGGCCCTACGTGCTGCTTTGCAGGCCCTGTCTGACCTCTTGACCCTACTGGGCCTGAGGCCACAAGCTCTGCCCACATTGGTCAATAAGGTGGCCCCATTCAAGGCTGTTCCTCAATAGGCAGCTGCCAACCTGACTGGGACAAGCCTTTAGTGAGCTGCGGCTGCCATCAAAGAAACAGGAGACCCCTTGGGTCAACCCTGGCTACTGGACCCTATTATTTCTTGCCTCTTCTCTGTGGTCCCTTTGGCTCATGTCACATTCCCAGCATCAGCCTCCCACCTCAGCAGACAAACCCCTTCTAAATCCAGCTGCCCTGTTTCCTTGCCTGGGGACTGTCACCATAAATGCTCCACCCTGAAACCTGCTGAAAGGGCAGTAGACAGAGGTGCAGTAGGAGCTACCTTCACAGACAGCTGTCTTATTAAGCACTTGCTCTGTGACAAGTGCCACTCTAGGTGGTTCACTTAGGCGACCTCATTTTATTCCTCCCACGACCCTATGAGAAAGTTACTGCTGTCATTCCTATTGTGCAGATGAAGTGAAGTAACTTGCTCAAGGCCAAGAAAACAGGGCTCCCCAATCCCCCCACTCACCCCTTCTCTCATCTGCTTATTCCCTGTAATCCCCCCCTGCTCCCTTACTCCCCTGGGATGGGGGACACAGAACAAACAGATTCAGTTCTTGATTCCTACTTCAAATTTTACCCTTTATTCCAACAATGAATTCAGATTCCTTCCCAGAAATAATGCTTCAGCTGGAAAGGACCACCCAGAAGGGGATCTGTGCAGACAGCAAAAGTTGTCACAAGACTGTATTGGGACCCCCATCCTGACCATCATCCCATATTAGGGGCCAGTCTTTCTGCTTATATCACAAAATGTAAAGTCAGCCTGCGCCCCTGCACAGATGCAAAAGGGAGGGAATATTTTGCAATTTGTGGCGGGTAAAATTACTGGCAGGTTGGGGGATTGGAGGGCATTTGCTAGGTGCATAGGGGGTTGGGTGGATGAGGTCGGGGTGGAGCTGCAGTTCTAAGATTCTGCAAAGGGGAGTGTTTCTCCTGTCCAAAAGAGAAATTTTGCTCTGGCTAACCCAGCTCCTGGGCTACAGTGCCCTCTTCGGGTCCTAGTGGGAACTGTTAGGGAATTATCAAGCAATAGAATCCTTAGAGCTCTGACCTGGCACATCTCAGTACAAATTTGTATTGTGATTTCCACATATGACACCTGATTCTTGCTCCACTGTGAGTCAGTAAGAGAGGAATCTCCCTCTTAGGCTGGTGAACTTGGAGCAAATGAACTTGTTCTTAAGCTCAAGGAATCCAGCTAATAAATGACAGAGCTAGAACCTGAATGTGAGATTTAGGACCCATAACCCCAAAGCCTTATCCACCTCTCAGCCTGACTTGCTGCCTAAGGCTCAGACATCCCATCATCAAGCAACTGGCTCTTTTTTTCTCCAGGATTCAGGGCCACTGACCTTATTCCTTGACTTCTCCTTAGACTTCTCGGTGCTTTCAATTAAAAAAAAAATAGTAGTTGTTGAACCTGTACTATATGACCACTTCTGGGCCAGGTATAACAGGCAAGTATTTAGGAACATTCATGCTACATTTATCAGATGCCTACTGTGTGCCAAGCCTTTGCACTAAATCTTAGGAAACGTGAAATGACACTCAGTCTATGCCACTTGTAGCCCAGAGTCCTTTGAGAGCAAGCAGTCCCCTGCAGGCAAAAAGACATCAATTAATTTAGACACAGTCAACTTGGAATGGATGGAGTGATCAGATGGGGGTGCTCAGAGGCCTGGGAAGGGAAGAGCCTCAGTGAGAGAAGAACCTAGTGAGGCTCAGAGTCCCTGCTGAGGGGCACAGATACACAGGGAGGGGGTTGCCAGATTTCAGAGGCTCTTCAAGTGCAGGCCACAGGTGTGAACTTTCTTCTGTACTGTGATCATGATTATGATTAACAACACTTTAAATCTCTGGCATGTACACAATCTGCTGAGATTCTCGCCATAACTCTGTGAAGCGGGAGTACAATAGGTATTTGTCAGATGGGGAGAATAAGTTCCGCCAGGTAAGTGACCAAGCCAGCTCTTCTGACTTCCTGGCAGGGACAGGAGCCAGCCGTATGTAGCACAGTTCTGAGTCAGCGGGTTACATAACTGTTTAACAGTGATGCCTTCCATGTGTAGGGAGCTTAGTGCTTTACAAATTGCTTTCCTGGGCATTCTCTCATTTGCTCTCCTAACCCCATGAGGAAGGCAGGGACAGGTAGAGGATCCCCATTTTGCAGACTAGAAAACCAATGCCCAGAAAGATTATGGGCCTAGCCTCGGTCATAAGACACTGAGAGGATGGGTCAGGACCAGAACCCAGGCTCTCTGACTCCAGGGTCCCTCTTCTGTCTGAAGCACAGAATCACCAGTGAGAGGAGAGAGGGGAGGTGGATGGGGTGGATTAAACAGCTGTGGTCAACGAGGCACAAGGCCTGTCCATTTCCTGCTACCAACTCCTTCCCATTCTGTTTCCTGCCTCCAGCTTCCACTTCCTCCCTGGATGGGTGGCAGGTGCCTGACACACTCCGCCCACCCAAGCCTCCCAGCACTGCGGGCCATCTCAGCCATCTCCTCCAGCCCCAGCTCTCCATCTTAACTCCAGCCTCTTGCCTTTGGGTACTCTCTGGCTCAAATCCTCTCCCTGGGCCAGAACATCAGGCTGGCCAAATGCACCTGCCTGACCCCAGCTCACAGGTTGCCTAGGATTTTACCAGCACTACTCAGTCTACTGGACTCACCATGGAGGATTGTTGCTGGAATTGAGTTAGCTAAATGGGGTTTTTTAGACATTGGAATCTATGCTGAATGAGAATCATATTATTTCAAACTGGTCAAGACTGATTCCACTAAAATTCCACCGTAAAACTGTGACATTACAAAAGATACTGGCAACAGAAAAACAGACAGCGGAACAGTTTCTCAGCTTAGGGGAGTTATGCCCAAATGTCTATAACCTCCCATCTTGATTTTTAAAAGTAAATTATTAAAAATTATGTGACCTACACACATATATGTAGATTTCTGATTTAAAAAACCTGGCTTGGGGCCGAGCCCTTGGCACACTCGGGAGAGTGCGGCGCTGGGAGCACAGCAGCGCTCCCGTCGCGGGTTCGGATCCTATATAGGGATGACTGGTGCGCTCACAGCGCTCACTGGCTGAGCGCGGTGCGGCCAGTCTCAAAAAGGACAAAAAATAAATAAATAAATAAATAAAAATAAAAAACCTGGCTTGGCTGTGCTGATTTAGTCTCCCTTACCTTCATCTTACAGATGAAGGTGTTAAGACCCAGAGACGGTAAGCAAAGTGCCCAAGGACACACAGTAAAGCCAGGACTGGGCTCCAGTTCTCTGGAATGATTTCCAGGGGTATTCCACATGCCAGGGTCTTTACATCTATTCCTGCAGCTGCCAATCTTGTCAAGGTTGTCAGTCTCTGGGGCCTTACCCATTCCTGGCTTCCCAAAATGCTGAGCCCAATGGTTCCCTCCTGCCAACCTCCCCACTGCCTTTCTGTTTTGCCTTGAGCTCCCAACCCCCACTTCCAGGCAGATTGGAGGCTGTGACCCTCCAGCACTGTGGTGCCAAAGGGAGGTCAGCCAAAGCTTCCATCAGAGGATGTATTGCCCAACCAGGAGGGGCTGTGGATCAATGTCCTCTGCCGCTCTTCCCTCGGTTAACACTTTCCTGGCTCTGTCCCCTCTGTTGTTAACTTTTCTAACCTGGTACAGAGGAAGGGTGGATAAAGGTTTGGGATGGTCATCCTTTATACCCCCAGATTTAACATAAAAAGGCAGAGGGGCTCTCTCCCCTCAGATGTGACCTCTGCACAGGCCCTGCTGGAGTTCCACGGAGCAACTCTCCAGCCTCATTTGGTCCGAAGTCACCCTTGGGAATGCAGAAGGGCTTTCTGACTCTTCCTAGACACGGGGTACAAGACTGTGCTGGCCCCTCCCTGACAGCTCAGGAGAATGGCCGGCCCAGGCATCTCTGTCACTTGTCAGGGTCAAAGGCCAGGTACCCTGAGCATAGATTTGATAGTGGGGGGTTGGGGGGCTGCCGAGGTGAAGGGAAACCTGAAGTTTCTGGGCACACCTGGGTGTGGTAGGGTACAGGAAACCTGGACTCAGGACAGCTCAGCACACTGCTTGGCCCCAACCCTCCAGCCTAGCTACAGCTCTGTGTGACTGGTGGGTGTCATGGGTTTTTTTTTTAAAGCAGCAAAACTGCCTTTCTGCTGAAATCTTATATAGAATTGCTATTTATGAAACCAATAAATAGCAATTCTAGATTTCTGCTGAAATCTTATATAGAATTGCTATTTATGAAACCAATAAATAGCAGGCTGGTCTGGTTGGGGTGGGCTACCACCCCCATACCTATTTGGATGCCCCTATGGCCCCCAAGGGGCACCTCTGCAGAGCTGTGGGACTCAGCAGAGCACAGCATGGGACTGTGGTGTCGTGAGGAAACATGGGCTTTGCAGCCAGCACTTCCTGATGGGAGACAATTTACTTCATTTCTCTGGAGCTCCATTGCCACACATGGAAAGTGAGGACATTCTATTTGCAAAGAAGACATGAGATTCAGCTAGGTCCGCCCACAGGGCCTGTTTCCAGCTCCTCCAAAGCTCTTGATCCACTTGTGGCCCCACTCCCACAGCCCCGACCTTAGCACCCATGGGCACCACCGGCTCTCACCCTCTACAACCTCCTCTCCCAGCTCCCACCTGTCCCCGTCCGATCCATACTCCACTGGCTGCCTACCGGGGTGGTCTTTTGAAAATAAACGTGGGATCAAGCCACCCCCATTACTTACAAACTTTTGGTGGATCCTCAAAGCTGTGGCATTCAAGGTCCTCCAAGATGGGGCCCCAGCCTCCTCCCAGTGTTACATCTGCACACTAAACACACACACACACACACACACACCATATTATCGTTCTTGCCACTTCTCCAAAACTGCCATGCTCCCCAATCTGGAGGTCTTGCCGTTGTAAAGCATGGCAAAGGAGAGGTGGACTGGGGCAGAGAGAAGGGCAGGTTGCCATTTGCACAGGCAGGCAGGTGGGATGAGCAGGCTGTGGGCAAGGACTGACCCAGAGCTCGCTCGAGATGGGCACTTCTGTGTCTTTGTGCCCCCCTGCCACCACCAGCCTCCTACTTCACAGGTAGAAGCTGCTAAGACACCACTGCCTGTTCTGCACAGCCCCTCCCTGCTCCCATTACACACCCAGCTTGTCTCTCCTGCTTCTGTTCTCGACTCTTCCACCCACCTTCTTATAAGTCCTTTCCTCATCTCTCTTGATATTGGACCTGTCTCATAAGCATTTAAACAGGCTCAAATTTCTCCTATCTTGCCCCCAATTTTGCACCTGCTCTCCAAGTCTCCTCTCTTTACAGCCAAACAGCTCTGAAACATTGTCCCCAGCTCCCACTGGGATTTCTTTCTTCAACTTCTATTCCCTCTCCAAATCCTCCAGTTTGGCCTCTCAAATGGCTCTCACTAAGTTTCTAATAATATCCCAAATCTATTGTACAGGAACTCATTGAAATGTTCTTCCTGTGCAGACTCACACAACACATAAATATGCAGAGCACATGGAAATGGCCACCCTCCCCTTACTGGAGGTAACCAGTTACCAACTTGATATGTGTCTTTCCAGTCCCATCTCCACACCTCCACCCAAATATACGTGCACAAACACATACCTTTTTGGGGGGATTTTACATAAATGGGATCATACTACACATCTTTTTTTCTATGACTCGCCTCTCTCCAAGTCTGCACAGTGCCTCTTCACTCCCATTACCTTTTTTTTTTTTTGTCTTTTTTCGTGTCCGGCAACAGATCGCAACCCTCAGTGTCACGCCCGTACCGGACCGGGACCGGCAACGGGATCGCAGCCCTCGGTGTTGCGCCCGCACCTCGCTCAGCCAGTGAGCGGGAACCGGTCTGTATGTGGGATCCGAACCCTCGGCAGGAGTGCCGCCGCGCTCCCAAGCGGCGCACTGTAGCAGTGCACCACCGGGCCGGCCCAGAATTTTCTTCCTTTTTAAGGCTGAATAATACTCTGTAGTATGGAAATACCACGTTTTGTTCATCCATTTGTCTATCGATGGACACTTGGGTTGCTTCTACCTTTTGGCCATTATGAATAATGCTGTTATGAACATAGCAAACAAGTATCTCTTCGAAAACCCTGTTTTCAATTCTTTTGAGTATATACCCAGAAGTAGAATTGCTGGATCATACGGCAATTCTATTTTTATTTTTTTGAGGAATATCATTCCTTTTAATGTTTGTATAATATTTTTAATATGACCCAACCACAGATCTACTGATAAACATTAAAGACATCTCAATGATTTTTTTTTCTATGGTAAACAATGCTGCAATTAACATCTTTAAGGTATGCACAATTTGTGCAAATGTACATGTATTTCTTTAAGAAGATTCTCAGAAAGGAAATGCTGAATCAGAGATATGTACTTTTTCCTTTTTTTTTTTTTGGCAGTTGGCCAGTACAGTGATCCGAACCCTTGACCTTGGTGTTACAAACACTGTGCTCTAACCAACTGAGCCAACTGGCCAGCTCTAGAGATATGCACATTTGAAAGTTTAATAGTCACCATCAAATTGCCTTCTAAAAACTCTTCACCAACATACATTCTTATCATCACTGCATTTGACTGTGTCTACCTGTATCCTGTCCAACTCTTCATACTATCAATCTTTTAATTTTTTTTTTCAATACGACAGTCATAGTTTTGACTAGCAGTTCCCTTACTACTAGTGAAGCAGAACATCTTTCAAATGCTTACTGGCTGTTTGTCTTTCTTCCTCTGTGACATGTCTTTTCCAATTCTTTGCCAATAGGCATTTTCATCCCTTCCTTTACCTGTCCCTCCAGTAGCCTTTACCACTGTTGCCAGTTATAGAATTCTAGGTTTGAAATCATTTTGTTTGGAATTCTGTAGACAATGTTCTGCTGCCTTTTAGAATCCGTGGTTGCTATCGAAAAGCCCAATTCCGTGCTGATTCCTGATCCTTAGTACATGACTGACCTGTTTTTTTTTTTTCTGTCTGAAAGAACTTCAGATCTTCTCTTTGCTCCTGATCTTCTGAAATTTCATGATGTGTCTTCCATGGGTCTCCTAGCACTCATTGTATGAGATGCCTTTTAATCTAAAGACCTGTGTATTTCAGTTCTGAGACATTTTCTTGTGTGTTCTTCTGTTTTTAAATAATTTCTTTTCCTTTATTCTCTCTCCTTGAACTCTTTTTGTTTGGTGTTAGACTTCATGGACTGATCCTCCAAGTCTTTTTCTTTTTTCTTTCTTTCCTTCTCTCTTATTTCCCCTTGATTTCAACTTACAACTCTTCCACTGGATTTTAAATTTCAGCTCTCATAGTTTTAATTTCCCAGAACTTTCTCGTGTTTTCTGATTGCCCATTTTTCGTGGCATCCTTGGAAGGATACCAAGCGAGGAGGGTCTGGGGTGTATGAAAGTGGCCAGGGCTCCTCATTGTGCCCTTCCCCTTTCTCCCAAGAGCCACCTCTGAGGTCCCTCATGGCTCCTCCAGTCTGGACTCTGGTGCTGCTGGTGGGGGCTACCTGGAGTCAGGGAGACATGCCTGCCCCTGTCCGGTAAGCTAAGCTCACGGGATAATGATGAACGTGGGGCGATTGAGGAGTGAGGGGCAAAGCTGGAGGGAGCAAGCGGGCTAAGGAGGCCTGGGGAGGAAGGCAGGGAGCCCGATGGGAAGGGAAGAGGGATCCATGAACAGGAACAGGGCTAGCCGCAGTCCCAGAGCCTAGAATTGAGGATTGGGTTCTGGAAGCAGGAAAGAGCTGAAATGTGAGGAGACACGGAGGCAGTACAGAGTTGGGGAAACTGAGGCTGGGAGAGGAGGATAGAGAGGTCAGGCTCTCAAAAGATGGACAAAGCCTAGTTGACTCAGCTGATAAGAGACTTCAAGTAGGAGGCAGCAAGGAATGACGGATGACTTGGCGTCCTGGAGCTTGTGTGTGGGAATTTGAACAAGTAGAACTTGAACAAATAAAACAAAAGGCTATTCTGTGTGGCCCTCGCCCCCTGCGGAGGGGTGGCCGGCTTCTCCATGGAATTTGTAAGGTGAGGAGGAGAGAGAGGGGCGATCTCTCTGTCACCCATTTACATGTTTAGTTGTGCGTAGCCAGGGAAATACCAACACCCACTACCTGGCAACCTGTCCCTATCCTATGGGAAAAACTTGGGCTACAGTGCAAGAAGACTTCAACCCAAAGGAAGGAGATCCCGAGGGTGTAAACCCAGGCACTGCGTGAGCATTCTCACACCCGGGGAACCTCCTGGTGTGGGACCCAACAGCGCATGACACCCCAGGTACAGGGGTGGAGGGGACTGGTGGAGATGTGAAAAGCTCAGGGAGGACACTTATCAGGAGACAGGTAAAAACTTAAGGTGAGGAGGGTGTGGGTGACTTTCCGAAAAGCCTTAAAGAAGACAAGTAATATATGTTCACTTCATAAATATTAATACAGTATAGATAAAAAGAAAGGAAAAATCATCCTCAAATGACCACTCAGAAAGCTCACAAGCATTGAGTCTTATAACTCTTGATAATGACAAGGCTCACATTTTTGCTTTCTCCAAACCACCCCCAAGGAGTGAGAAGACTCCAGACTGGAAAGCAGTCACTCGCAGCTCCACGGACGACAGTGAGTTGGAAACCAGAAGGGCTCAGACCACCCCTCCCTCCTCAGAAACCATGTCCCTAGCCCAGGGGTGGCCATCTCGAGTGCCATCAGTGCATGCACAATGATATAAACCAGAATAAGTGTTCAAAGGGCAACCTTTAGATAGACACTGGAGGGAACCATGGAAAAGTATAAGCCCTGCCTGAAAGATTCCCAAATTAGAAACAACGAAAACCACAACAAAACGTGTGCTTCCCAGACAAAGCCTCTGTCCAGCTAAATCCAGCCTCCGCACCTCAGTTTACATCCCCCAACCTTGTCATTCGGCCCACCCACCACCCCAGCCCTGAATTTCTCCCAAAAGACTGTCTCTCTCACTTCTGCGCTGGCCCCCAAATCTTGGTGGTGGCCTTCTCTCAGCTCGGCAATCCTGCCTCCTACCTCCCAGTGTGGCTTTGTCGCCTGCCCCAGGCCCTCTCCAAGGCCTCACAGTGGCCCTTTTTTTCCCAGCTGTTCTCACCCAGTGTGATTTTGAGGATGACTCCAAACCCCTCTGTGACTGGTCCCAAATGACTGGAGATGACGGGGACTGGATTCGAGCCAGTGGGCCCTCCTCCACTGGCACCACCGGGCCCTCCGGCGGGTACCCCAATGGAGGTGAGGAGTCCTCGCGCGGCCTAAGGTTTAGGGAGGACAGTGGCAGGGAGGCAGCTGGTGGTGGGCATGGACAGGCCTGGATGGAGGTGGAAGGGGGACGGCTAGAAGTGGACACCAGGGCTCTGAGAAGGGGGTGAGTGGGGGCAGCCCTAGGGGTGGCAGGGCCTCACTATCCTGGGCTCTGCCTCCTCCAGAGGGCAAATACCTGCACATGGAATCGAGCGCCTTCCACCGGGGCGGAGTGGCCCGCCTGCGCAGCCCTTACCTGTGGGAGCAGGGCCCTTTCTGTGTGCACTTCGCCTACCACATGTTTGGGCTGTCGTGGGGCACCCAGCTCAGACTGCTACAGCTCGCGGGCACACAGGGCAACCGCCCTTCTGTGCTCTGGAGACACATAAACACCCAGAGCCCATCATGGATGCCCACCGCTGTCACTGTGCCTGCGGGGTTTGCCCTGCCCAGCCAGGTGAAGATGAGGGCAAATCTTGGTGCCCCCGTGGGAATCTGGGAGGGCGGGGGCTATGGCAAGGAGGGAGCCACAATTCAGGAAGAAAACTGGGAGCCAGAGGCAAAGGGACAGGAGGCCTGGCCAAGAGGCTCACAGTTTTGGGGTCCCTTGTCCTCCTCCTGCAGCTGATCTTTGAGGGAGTGAGGGGCAGCAGTGCTTATCTGGACATCTCACTGGATGCCATCTCTATCCATCGAGGCTCCTGCAATCGGGGTGAGTCCCTGTCCCTACTCCTTTCTTTTCTCCCTGCCCCTGCACAACTGCCCAGGGTGGCAAGAGCAGCTTGGGGACCAGGACCCTGGTTTCTGACAGAGTAGAGACTGCTGGCTTCCTTCTGCCTCCACACTCCACACCTTTGACTGCTAAAGCAGCCACACCTGAAGAGAGGTTCTCTTTTAAGATAGAGTTGTGGTAATACCTGTTCCAGAATGACCATCCATCTGGGTTTGCCCTGGCCTGCCCTATTTTAGCACTGCAAGTCTCACATCTCAGGAAGCCCTCATTTCTAGGTAAACCTGGACGTCGGTCACCCTAGCTATTACCCTCACCACCACGCTGATCCATCCAGAATTAGCCCTCTAAGCTGATGTAAGAGATTCAAGGGGAGCAAATCCAAGGGCAGGAAAATTCCAAAAGCTGAGTGAAAAGAGCTAACATTGAGCACAGGGACTAGACTAGATGCTCCACATATGTGATCTAATTTACAACTTGGTGAGGCGGGCACTGTTATTCCTGGTTTATAGGTGAGGAAACTGAGGCTTGGGCAGGTTGTCATCTGTGCCAGGAACACAGCAGTAGGCAGTGGGCCCACCACCACGGCTTACTACAGGATTCACACTGGAACTAAGAATTCTGACTTGAGACTCAGGTATCTTTTTCTGAGCCACCTCAGAAAAAGTGACACCCTCTCTTTCTTTCTTTGCTCTCAGTCTGCCTGCTGCAGGTATGCAACTTTGACATTCCAAATGACCTCTGTGGCTGGAGTTGGGTCCCAACTGCCTCTGGGGCCAAGTGGACCCAGAAGAAGGGGTCATCAGGGAAGCCAGGAGTGGGGCCTAATGATGACTTCTCTAGCCCTGGCAGTGAGTAATGGCCATGCTTCTGTCCTTTGACTTTCTGGGCTCTAGTGACCTCTGCAAACCCTACAACAACTGCCTTGGGACAGTCTGGGGGGTGAACCCCAGCAGCCTCAGCTCTCCATCACCTCAAGTTTCATGACAGAAAGCAAAGTCCAAGCACACACCCAGTTTCCCACATCACCACCCCACAAGCTCTACCTGGCAGACCCAACACAGCCTGCTCCTTACCTCCTTTCCCTAGTACCCTTCCTTCCTTCATTCCATCATTCAAGAAATACTTACTGAGCACTTATGATATGCCAGGCACTGTCTTAGGCATTTGAGATTCATCAGTGTACAAAACAGACAAGGGGGGTGGGGTGAGGGGGAGACATCTACCAAAACAAAGAGGTAAATTATATAGTTATAAGGTGAGCAGTGCTACTGGAAAAGTAAAAAGTTGAGCAAGGGAAGGGGATTGGAAATGCAAGGGTGGGATGGACTGTAAATTTTAAATAGGGCGGTCAGGGTAGGTCTCATTCAGCTCACATTTGAGCACAAACTCAAAGGAAGTGAGAAAGAGAGGCATGAAACTACTGCGGGTGAGGGAGAACATTCCAGGCAGAGGGGCCAGCCATGCAAAGGCCCTGAGGTGGCAGTGGTCCTTGTGGGGGTGGGGGGTCTTTAGCCACGTGGTTAGGATGGAGACATGAGCTCAGACTGGACGTAGGAGGGGCAGATCACGTGCAGCCTTGAAGGCCGTTGTCAGGATGTGGCTTTTATTCTATGCAAATACGGAGCCTTTGCAGGATTTTAGCAGATGAGTGACTTGATCTGACTTATTCGAAAAGGATCACCTGGTTTTTGTCTTGAGAATCCACTGAAGGGAACGGGAAAAGGTAGATACAGACAGGCTGTTCAGGAGGCTTTTCCAACAACCCAGGTGATACTTTCTTCCTCTTTCCGTCCATGTCTGCCCCTAGCTTCTTTTCCACCACCTCCCTGTGCTCTTGGCTGGGCTTTTCTCCTTTCTTCTCCTCCTTTTTCTCCCACACAGCATTCACCACCTCTCTCAATCTTCTCTCCACACATCCGACATTTCCAGTCCTCACCGAGGCAAGCATTGTCCGTCAAACTTAGAGGTTCACGCCCCCTAATTTCCGAGTTTATACCTTTTTCTCTTTCCCTTCCTATTTCTCCATTCTCAATCCTTTCCTTCCTTCCACCTAATCATTTCCACATTTTCTCTTCATCTTTCCCTCACCCCACTCCAAACATGTCCACTCCAACTTCATGCCCTCTTCCTCTGATCTTTCCTGCCGCCTGAGATTTGTCTTCTAGAAGGGCCTTAAGAAACCCACCCCCGCCATCTTGCTCTTCTTTTTCTCCCACTTCTCTTCTTCCATTTGTCTCCTTGCTTTCTCTGTCATCATTTTCCCATTTCCTTTCCTTCCCCATCCGTGTTCCTTCCCAGTTGTTTCCCTTCTTCCCTCCCGCTTCCGCCCACTCCCTCCCTTTCAGCCTCTCCCGAGCCCACCTGCCCGGCCCGGGTGAGCGCGCTCGCCAGGCAGCATCCAGCGGGAATCGGGCGTGAGCACGCACGCGTGCGCGCTCCCGACGAGTCGGCGCCGGCTTACATCTTCTCCCTGGCTACCAGTTGCGTCACGGAGCGAGATCCAGGCTAATTGGCTGCCTGAGCTGCCGCCGGAGGGAGTGTGGGGTGGGGAGCTGCCTGCTAGTCGGTGTCAGACCGGCCCTCTCTCACCAGTATGTGTGAGTCGGCTATGTCCAGTGGGTTAAGAGAAGAAAGAGGCTATGACTCTAGGGGACCTAAAGAGTCAGCACCCAAAGGACAAAGTTCTGGCTGCTGCCTCTGAGAGGGTGCCCGCGTTTCCTATGGCAGCGCCCGCGTCCTCTCCCTGCCCAAGCACTTCTGGGAGGGTTCAAGGCCTCAGCCAGTTGTGACATGGGTGTAGCCCCCCTCAGCGCCTGATTCTAGGTCGCCGTTGGGGCTCCCCGGGGCCTGTTCCCACTTTCCCAGGGCCCTATCCCTGCTGCCATATTCCCCCAATATTGGCCACCCCACCTTACTGGCCTTTTCCTTCGCAGGTGGCTACTACATGCTCCTGGACCCCAAGAATGCCAAAGAGAGCCAGAAAGCTGTCCTCCTGAGCCCCCGGAGCCAGTCTTCTGGCTGTCTGAGCCTTACCTTCCACTATACCCTCTGGGGCCAGTCTCCTGGTGCAGCTCTCCTCGTCTATGCTTCAGTCTTGGGTTAGAGTGGAGAATTCATGGGATTTACACTGACCTGGGCACATCTGCCAGGGTTGGGCTGACGGGGAAATGTGCGGTATCCCTCAGAGTCAGGGAAGTCTGGGGTTTGTGTGAGATTATTTCCTGAATTTGAAATGAGGACCAGGAGTGTACTGGATTTTGGAAAAATAGATAAAGGTGCCAGGAAAGTGAGAGAGAAGGATGTGATTGCAATTGGGGGAATATTCCCCAAGTATTCCCTCTGCCACTCATCCTTCTGAGTATAGGTTTGAACTCATTTCCCAGTCCCCTTAAGCTGACTTCTCTCTCTGATTCCTTCCATTGCAGGCAGCATCCGGAAACACAGTCTTTTCTCAGGACAACCTGGACCCAAATGGCAGCTTGCTTCTGTTAATTACACAGGACTAGGACAGATACAGGTACAGAGGAGCAAGGGGCAGGTCCTCCCTGCACATGGTAGGCACCCCTGATGTTGAAATGAATTGAGAGTCTGGTCCCGAGGAACAGGGGGCTTGGGTCCCTGAATGGAGTAAAGTCAGATTGGGGGCTGGGGGTTCGAGCCGTGTGCTCACTCCCAACCCTCTCTCCCTCTCTTTCCAGTTCACTGTGGTGGGTGTGTTTGGAAAGTCCCCGGAGCCAGCTGTGGCAGTGGATGCAATCAGCATCGCTCCCTGTGGGGGTGAGAGCTGGCCCTGGGAGGCCCGGATCTCTCTGAATTGGGGGTGGGATGGGGGAGGAATGGGGAGCAAGTTTCTCAAGGCTCCTATTTGGATCCCCTAGAGAGCTTTCCTCAGTGTGACTTTGAAGATGATGCCCATCCCTTCTGTGACTGGTTCCAGACATCAGGGGATGGTGGATACTGGGTCCGGGGAAGTAAAACTATACCCATCCAGGGCAAAGGCTCCTCAGGAGATGCCCCTAATGGAGGTGAGAAGATTAAGGACCCTTCTAACTAGTGAATCACTGAATCCCAGCTAGGGGGCTGGCTGGTGTGATGGATGAAAGAAGTTGTAGGTGGTAAAGATGAGTTTTTTACTGGGTAACTACCATGGGGCCAGAGCTGTGAAGATGACAGAGGCGAGTCAGTTGAGGATTCTAGTGGCTGTGGGATCACCAGAACTCCCAGAAAACTCAGCCATCTGACTTCATGGAGCCCAAGGCTTCAAAATCCACTCTCTCATTTTCAGTCAAGACATTTATGAGTGCAGCCAGCAATAGAATCTGGGTTGCTGGTTTGGTTTTCCCTTTCTTTCTGATCCTGCCTTCTTCAGTTAGAAGTTCAAAGTTAGCAGAAAGAATGGCTATGACGTGGGGAGTTTGGGTGCTTGCTCAGGTCCCCACTTGGAAAGCAAGGCGTTGCTAGAGCAGCCATAGGCCTGTCCTGTGCAGCTTTCTCGTCTTGACTGTTCCCTTCTGTTGCCCAGGAGCTCACTATATCTACTTTGAGGCTGGCAAGTTCTCCCAGGCGGGGCAGTCTGTTGGACTGGTGAGCCGGCCCTTCTGTGCCCCGGGTGACATCTGTGTGAAGTTTGCTTACCACATGTATGGCCTTGGAGAAGGCACCATGCTCAAGCTCCTGCTGGGGAGTCCTGCGGGTAGTACCCCGATTTCTTTCTGGGGCCGCATTGGGTCTCAGAGCCCTGACTGGATGAACACCTCTGTCACCATCCCATCGGGATATCAACAGCCCATGCAGGTGAGAGATGGAGAGAGTGGGCCCTGTATGTGTCTGTTTGGGACATGGTGAGGAGAACATAATGCCAGGGACCCAGGAGCACAACAGGGCTGAGCAGGCGAAAAGCTAGAAAGGGAGCAGAGAGGAGGGGAAATTAGTGTTTCGAAGTGGGATAGGGGGTGGGGGCAGAGTTGGACTCTTGAGGCTCAAACAAGGTGATATTTTGGCAGAAGACAGACCCCATGCCCAGCAGAGTTTCTGAATTGCCAGAGATTCATTTTCCTTTTTCTCTTCTTTCTCCTTCGTTGCCTTCAGCTGATTTTTAAGGCCACCAGGGGTAGCAACGCTGCCTTTGTTGTTGCTCTGGGTTTCATCTTGGTCAATCACGGGACCTGTCGAGGTAAGATGAAACCCAAGCCCAGAAAGGGGGCCATGCCTTGGGTTGACCATCTCTTGGGCTTCTCTATATAAACAGCATACAGCGCAGGCCCTCTCCTGTGCGCCTGAGCCCTCACACAGCTGGCTTTGTTTTCCACATTCTGCCCTCCTTCACCTCTCTTGCACCTACCATCAGGATGCTTGCTTGAGTGAATGTGTCTTTGATGCCATGAATTTCTGTGGTTGGATCTAGAACCCCTTACATAGTGATCCCGAAGGCAGGACCCATATCCTATTCGTGTTGATGTTTCCTGTCCCTCGCACAATACTGGACATATATTAGCAGCAGTGTTTATTAAGCGAGGGAAGGTTGGGAGTTGGGAGCGGAACGAGAGGTGTAAATAATGTATCCCTTTGAGCCCACCCACTCCAGTTAGATGTGAGTAAAGAGAGTGGCAGTATGATTTCGATTAAATTCCAGGGATTTTTTTTCTTTGCAGCCTCTGTGCCAATAGTGCTTCCTACCATATCTCCAGTTCCCCCTTCTGAAACCACCGTCCTCACAGAAAAACCCATAGTCCCCACAGAAAAGCCCACCATGCCAACTGAAAAGCCCACAGTCTCCACTGAAAGGCCCACCATCCCCACCGAAAAACCCACCATCCCCACCGAAAAACCCACCATCCCCACTGAAAAACCCACCATCCCCACCGAAAAACCCACCATCCCCACCGAAAAACCCACCATCCCCACCGAAAAACCCACCATCCCCACCGAAAAACCCATCGTCCCCACCGAAAAGCCCACCATGCCAACTGAAAAGCCCACAGTCTCCACTGAAAGGCCCACCATCCCCACCGAAAAACCCACCGTCCCCACCGAAAAACCCACCGTCCCCACCGAAAAACCCACCGTCCCCACTGAAAAACCCTCCATCCCCACAGGAAAACCCACTGTCCCCACCGAAAAACCCACCGTCCCCACCCAAAAACCCACCGTCCCCACCCAAAAACCCACCGTCCCCACCCAAAAACCCACCGTCCCCACCCAAAAACCCACCATCCCCACTGAAAAACCCTCCATCCCCACAGGAAAACCCACCGTCCCCACCCCAAAACCCACCGTCCCCACCCAAAAACCCACCGTCCCCACTGAAAAACCCACTGTCCCCACTGAAAAGCCCACTCCTACGACACCCCACCCCAGCCCTGCAACAACAATCTTGGTGGTGCCCCCACATGCTCCAAGTGCCCCCACGACCAGCGCAGCTCTGGGCACCACAACAACCCTGAGACCTACTACAGGTATGAGGTGGAGGGAGCGTTGCACGAAGAGCTGAGAGTAAGAGCCAGAGACTAGGAGAGAGAGAGTCAGGGAAAGGGAAGCTTCTAGTAAAATACTGCAGCCTTAGAGGATAGATGAACCAGTCCCTGGTGACTTTAGGAGAAAGATGAGGACTGCCTAGAGGGAGAGGGACAGCAGGGCGGGGGTGAGGGGGATTGTTGGGAACTAGGATTTCTTTTTATTATTTTTTATTGAGATATAATTCATATACCGTAAAATTCACCCTTTTAAAGTGTACAATTCAGTGGATTTAGTACATTCACAAGTTTGTACAACCACCACTAATACCAGACCTTTCCTCACCCTGAAAAGAAACCTTGTACCCATTAGCAGTCACTCCTCATTTCCCCTCCCCCCCAGCCCCTGACAACCACCAGTCTCCTTTCTCTATCCATGGATTTGGCTGTTCTGGACACTGCATACGAGTGGAATCATAATACATGGGGCTTTGTGTCTGGCTTCTTTCACCGAGCATGTTTTCAGGGTTCATCTACGTATAGCCTGCATCTGGACCTCATTCTCATTATGGCTGAATAATAGGGGCCTACTTCTTAGAGAAGAACTTGAGTTTGGGATAGAGGGGAGACAGGAAGCCTCCCTGAGCAAAGCTGTGGAGTGACAGTGTGACGGAAGCTGTGTTTTCCCCTCAGTGAGCTGCCCTCCAGATGCTCACTATGAACCCTGTACCTGCCCTGCTTCCTGCGAGAGCCCCAGGCCCAGCTGCGGGCTCCTCTGCAGGCCAGGCTGCGTCTGCAATCCTGGCTTTTTGTTTAGTAACAACCGCTGCATCAGTGCCTCTTCCTGCAGTTGCTTCTACAACAACAACTCCTATGTGGTAAGTGGTAAGACCGCCGGGATGCCCCGGCCCCCTGAGGGAGATTAATGGCAGAATTTGGCTCCACCTGCTCCCCGGGTGAGATGATCTTGGAACCATGGGATAGTCCCAAGGGACCAGCTCAAAAGCAATGCTTACACCATGATGGAGTCACTCTGCAGCGTGTGGTTTTTGATGATCCTTTGTTCATGCAGTAAATCTTTATTCAGCGCCTGCCGTGATGCTAGACTGTGCTAAAGAGGCAGTTACCCCGTGGTCCTACACCAAGTGCTCCTTCCAGTCTCAATATTTCTGTAATTACCTTCTTTCAAAGGAATTTACCAATCCCGATGGGTCAAAAAGAGAGGAATTACTGTCGTTGCTTTCCCTACTTGATGGTCTCCTACAGAGATTTGACAGAGTAGAGTCTAAAGGGGCGAAGGTTCTGGCCAGCACTGTCCAATAGGCATAGTGTGTGAGCCACACACGTCATTTTACATTTCTTAATAGCCACAAAAGGAAAAAAGCAAAAGGAAACAGGTTAAGTTCATTCCAATAATCTACTCAGTCCCAAATACTATCATTTCAATGTGTAATCAATAATTATTATTTTTTTGGCGGGGTGGCTGGCCAATATGGGAATCCAAACCTTGGTGTTGTAACACTGTGCTCTAACCAGCTGAGCTAACCGGCCAGCCCTCAACAAAGAATTGATAAGATAGTTCATACTTTTTTCTACTAAGTTTTCAAAACCTAGTGTGTATTTTACACTTACTGCATATCTCAATTCAGACTGGCCACGTTTCAAGAGTCTAGTAGCTACATGTGGCTCGTGGCCCCCGTGTTGGACAGCGTGGGTCTAGCATCAGGTAGACCCGAGCTTGAACCCTGGCTCAGCACTCATTCCCTGGGTGACCGTGAGCAAGTTTCTTTACCTCTTTAAATCAGTTTCCATATCTATTAAGTGTGCACAATAAGACTTTCTACCTCATGTAAGGTTGTTGTAAGGATGAAATTTACTGATTACTTAGTAAATGTTCATTATTATTTTTAGCAACTTATGATAAATATTATAGGCAACCTATTAATTAAAAGTGCATTAAACTATTCATTAGTGTCCAGTACCTCCTCTCAGCTCCAGGTGTTCTTGCCATTAGCGTCAGAGCTCCTGCTTGTCTCTTTGGAGATTACTTCCTCCCCCATCCCCTTTAATCAGTCTCCTGGGTCTCCTGGAGTCAGCGTTAGGATTAGCTTTGGCTGCAGCCTGGGCAGAAAGATCTGTCCCACCCATCAGTATCAAGGGTCTCTACCCTCTGCTCTAGCAGGCATATGTGAACTTATTATATATCCATTTATGCATTCAACAAATGTTCATTTAGTACTTTCTGCTCTCCTGGAATTGGGGTCACCATGAATTGGGCGTGGCCTTTGCCCTCACAGTGCTCTCAGATTCAGGGGGGCACATTGGGTCTTGGTTTACTCTTTCAGTTGGCAAGTATTTATGAATGAGAGCTTTCTGTTGTGACACATTGGGGCTAAGATGGTGAGTAAAGACAGACACAGTCCCTCACCTGACGTGCTTACAGTCCAACAATCACAAACATTAACGTGAAAGTGCAACTGTGCTAAGTCCTCAGTAGGAAAGGTACCCAGAGCTCTGAGAGTGACCTAGTCATGGAGGTCTGGGAAGTTTTCCTGAGAAAGCCATCCTTGAGCTGAACTCTGCTGGTTGTGTAGGAAAGATTTAGAAATGGGGAGAGAAGTGCATTCTGGGGTGAGAGAAAAGCATGTGCAAATGTCCTGTGGTAGCTGGGAGTATCAGGTAGGTGTTGGGGAGAGGAAGAGCAAGGGCAAGGTTAGATCTTCATGTGGGAGAACATCCTGTCTCCTGGGCATGGTGGAGGAGAATGGGGAAGGGCCCCAAGAACTATGGCTTTGTGACCAGATCCCTTGCTCCTAGCCTGGGGCAGAGTGGTTCAACCCCAGCTGCACAGAACATTGCCGCTGCATGCCTGGCATTAGGATCGAGTGCCAGATCTCTCAGTGCAAGACAAACACACTGTGCCAGCTGAAGAATGGCCAGTACGGATGCCATCCCTACGGTAAGATCCCCTCATGCTGTCCCCACCTGTCGGAGCGGGTATCACACCAGGATCCCAGTCCCTCCCTCGAGCAGAGGAGCTGGGGACATGGGAGAGCTGGGATGTGGGGCCCAGCCTAGCAGCGCAGTTGAAGCAACTTTGCATGTTCCCCCTTCTCCTCAGTAGGCGCTGCCACCTGCATGGTCTATGGAGACCCTCATTATGTCACCTTTGATGGGAGGCACTTAGGCTTCATGAGCAAATGCACCTACATCTTGGCCCAGCCCTGTGGCAACTCAACAGGTAGGACCTTGCAGATGCCCACCATGGCCTGGGAGAGAAGGCTGAGGTCAGAGCTGCTGGGCTGGGGACACAGTGGGCAGCAAGAGAGGACGGGGAAGCATGTGGCAACTCAACAGGTAGGACCTTGCAGATGCCCACCATGGCCTGGGAGAGAAGGCTGAGATCAGAGCTGCTGGGCTGGGGACACAGTGGGCAGCAAGAGAGGACGGGGAAGCTGGGGGGGAAGAGGCAAAATTGGAGCAAAATCTCCTGTAAGGTAAGGGTTGAGACGTGTGTCCCAGAAATAGGACTTTCAGAAAATGCAGTTTAAGAGACTTCTCTTTATCAATTGCTTCCTTGGGCAACTGTTACTGAGGGCCCACCTGGCATAGTGGCAATCACTGTAAAAGGGACCAGGGATGGAGCACGAACACCCGGGAGGATGTCCCAGTCCTCTGAGGGTAGACAGACACACAGGAGTTGCAGGCTGTTGTGGAAGAGGGCAGACAGTCAGATCCTGCTCGGGTTTGGGTCCTCCTTCTGCTACTGTCCCTGTGGCCCTTCATCCCCGCAGTGGCAGGCTCTGGGCACTGCCCACGGTGAGGGCACAGAAGTGCTTGTTCAACGAGCCCCAGGGCTTTTTCCTCTCCCCACCCAGCCCCATTCTTCAGGGTGACAGCCAAGAATGAGGAACGAGGGCAGGAAGGCGTGTCCTGCCTGAGCAAAGTCTATGTGACCCTGCCTGAGACCACCATCACCCTGCTCAAAGGCAAACACACGCTGGTGAGCCCCATCCCCCACCCACCCCTGCCAGGGCCACCAGGCCTGGCTGTGCCTGCCCCCATGGGCTGCAGTGGCCTCATCCTGGCCAGCTCCTCCAGCCCCTGAATCCTCTCAGGGTCAGACTTAAACAAAACAATAATGGCGAAGCTCCAAACCGCTCTAGGTGGAGGAGGTTTTTAGGCTTTTGTGGAGGATGCCGTGCCTTCCAGCAAGGTGTGTGGGAGTCTACTGGGGTCCCCCTTGACCCTCACTTTTGTCTCTCTGTCTCCTTCCAGGTTGGGGGTCAGCGAGTCACCCTCCCAGCCATGCTTTCTAAAGGCATCTTCTTGGGTCCAGTTGGGAGATTTGTGGAGCTGCAGACTGTGTTTGGTTTGCGGGTGAGATGGGATGGCGACCGAGAGCTGTATGTGACTGTGTCCAGGTGAGGGAGTGTCCCAGCCAGGCAGCTGCTACTTCTCCCTGCTCAGCACCCCTCTCCCAAAACCCTTCCATCCCTTTCCCCTTCCATTCCAAACACCACTACTTGATCGTACCTCCCAATGGGTAGGAAGCACCCAGCTCAAGTGACAAGCCTCCCTTTGGGTGGGGGGACAGGAGAAAATGGTTTTAGGGCAGCGTATAAATAACAGGATGTACACAAAATGCTTTGGGAATGTGCTAGAAGGAATCACTAATGGGCTCTTGGGGCTTTCGGAAGAGAAGTCACTTGATCCTATTCTTCAAGGAAGACAGAAAACCAGAGAAAGAGAGACTTTATGGAAACAGTGAACAGCACATGCAAGAATAAGCTAGAGAGTTTGGGGGCCAGCAAGGGGTTTGTTGTGGCTGGACAACAGGGTGGGGGCAGAAGGGGCAGAGGGGAACTGTACAGAGGGCTTGGGGTAAGGGTCCGTGGGGCCCTGGCGCCTGGCGTGGAACCCCTGTTCTGAGTCCGCACCTCTCTGTCCTCGTCGGGGGGGAACTGTACAGAGGGCTTGGGGTAAGGGTCCGTGGGGCCCTGGCGCCTGGCGTGGAACCTCTGTTCTGAGTCCGCACCTCTCAGTCCTCCTCGGTCCTCGGGCCTCAGGGCCGCCAGCTCACGGCCTTCTCTTCAGTGGTCCCTGGATGATGGAGGCCCCTCCTCTCCATTAGCGCTCCCTCTTCTCTGGGTCCCACAGCACCTACTCGGGCACACTCTGTGGCTTCTGTGGAAACTATGATGGCAACAGTGACAATGACAACTTGAAGCCTGATGGTAACCCAGCAGGAGATGAGGAGGAGCTGGGGAACAGCTGGCAGACAGCTGACGACAAGGACGAGGACAAGGAGTGAGTGAGGAATGCCCCGCCAGGGACCTGGGGTGTCCCCCTCCCCTTCTCAGCCCTCTTGCTCCTTCATCTTTTAAGACTGACTGGCATGGCCTCTTTTCTCCTCCACCCTGGAGGCTCCAGGCTTTTCTACCTCCTTTGGGGCTCAGTGTTCAAATGTCTCCCTCTAGGGGCTGCCAGGAGCTGCGAGCCTGCTCTTTCAGCCTCACTGATTGCTGGGTTAGGGGCCCTTGACCTTGAA